GCGGAGGGCCCGGGGGCCTGGGGGGCCGCCTCCTGGGCTCTCTGCCGGCGCCCTGGTCTGAGGAGGAACCCTGAGTTGTTTTGCCGCTTTTGTTTTTCTTCTGGAAACTGCAGTACCTGGGAACGCTGTGCGGTGTCGCCGGCCGGGCCGCCCGGGGAAAGGTGAGGGGGCGCCGGGCCGGTGGTGGGGGTCGGGGGCCGGAGGCGGAGACGCCGGCCGGGGGCCGGGGGCGCCGGTTGCGGCCGGGGCGCAGCGCGTCCTTCTTGCTTTCCAGGTGCGCGTCCCGAGGGACCATGGAGCCGGGGCCGCGCCCCGCGGGTAGCAGCTGCGGCAGCCCCGCGGGCCTCTCCCGGGAGTACAAGCTGGTGATGCTGGGCGCCGGCGGCGTGGGGAAAAGCGGTAGGTGCCCGGTGCTTGCATTTCCCAAGAAGTGCTCATCCGCACCCACACCAGATGGGAGGCTGACGCTTGTTCTTTCCGTGGGTCGCGTCTGTGGATTTTAACTTTCGTTTCTTGTTTTGAAGCCATGACCATGCAGTTCATCAGCCACCGATTTCCAGAAGATCACGACCCCACCATCGGTAAGTCGAGTTACCACCTAAGTTTCTAAGTAAACACTATGGACCTGTCTTGGTGTCAGTTTTTGAAACCGTCTTTAACTGCTTCTCTTTGGAGCCTTTGTGGGTGTCCTTATAAGATTTTTTAGCAAGAGTTTCATAGCACTGGGTGAACAGATACTACTTTTTTTCTCCCTTAACTTGGTAGGTCGGTAAGCCGTCTTTCGTGTCCGTCTTTTCTTGAAGGTTCCTGGAACACTTTGGTCCGTTAGGATTTCGGGGTTCCCAGGCTATATTGCCAGGTAAAAGGAGAAGTGTCCAGGCCTCGAAGCCGTTCGCTGTCACTTCTCTAAGGGTCTCTGGCTCTGTAACTATGAGTCAGCTGGTTTGAACTTCCACAAAAGGAAGCAGAAAAACAAGTCCAGCCAGCCTGCTGAAGTCTGACAACTCAGACCTGCAGCCTGGACTTCTTCCCCTGGAAGCTCTTCGTTTACTTCCTTATTCCTCAAGTTTATTACCTAGTAAGGTCTTCTTTCATGTCTTCTCTAACTCTTAGTGCTCTGTTGTTGGCAAAACACTGGTGGAGGAAAAAGAAATTTTGTCTGGCCTTTTCAAAAAAGTTGCTATTCTCTACAAAGACTAAGAATACTACTGTCATTCCTGGACTATGAGGAAGCAGGTTTGATTCTAAGGGGTTAAAGATACAAAGAAAAACGGAGGGGAGGGCACGGTGAGGGCGGGAGCCATACTGCTAGTGTTTTCAGAGTGTCAGGATCCTGGGTCTCTCGGGAGGATTTCCACTGGGTCAGGCCTCTGCCGCTCTTGTTTTCCACAAAGCCAGTGAGAGAGTTCTGTGCCAAGCCAGGTTTGGATGCAGTCGTTCTATATAGTTCATGCTTCTGTGGCTTGAGGAAAATAGAAACACTGCTTGTTTTTTTTTTAAATGTACAGCATTGCTCAGGGATTCAAACTATGTTGAGGATTCTAGAAATAAACTCAGTTTAGGGTTTAAGATAATTTACTTAGAACTTCACAAGTATTTTTTTTTTTTCTTTAAAGCAAAACTTATATGTGTTCTCTGAAAGAGCTAATTTTTTTAATCAGTTGATTTTTTTCCCCCGGTCAGCTGCTCTCCGGACAATACCATCTGATTCAACAGCATGTACTTATGTGTCTTGAGTTCCCATCATGTGCTAAGTACTGTTGTAGGCCCTGGGAGTGCAGTGGTGAACAAAAAGATGCAGTAGTTTCTCTCGAGGAGTTTATAATTTAGGGCCTTTTCTTTAGGGGGCTTTGTGGCAAACTTTGGCTGCTAACTCTGAGAAGAACAGTTCTACATTGGAGCTAGTACGTGTGCGAGTGTGTGTGTGGTACATATTTACCCGTAACTGAAGTATCAGGAAACTGTGTATGTCACTGCATGTGGTATGCTCTTGTATTTTTTCTTGTAGATTTTTGCTTATTTATTTTAATGCTGGTCCCAACGCGTTAAATTCATTCACAACTCCCTAATCCTAGCGGATCATGGCCTGTAGTTTGAGAAACACTGGTTCGGTGGGCTCTTTATCTTTGAGGAAGAGTCATGAGCAGGGGTTCAAGAAAAAATACTGAAATACACTGGGGTGTAAGCAGCAATTGTTTGAATGATGAAAATATTGAGTGGGTTTCTCTCTTTTTAAAAAAATTTTCTTGTATTTTTCAAGGTTCGTATAATAATGCCCATAAAGAAATTTGTTTTCATGAAGGAGAGATTATGACAATATGGATTATTTAGAAAAAAGTAAATGATTTTTTTTTCTTATATAGTATGAAAATAAGGAGGAACCATAGTATTTGGTTAAGTAGATAAGGCTTTTGAATCAAGCAGCCCTTGGTTTTAATTCTGGCTGTATAATTAACTTTGTAATATGGGAAAGACATTTAATGTTTCAGAGTTTTTCTTTATCTGTAAAGTGGAGATAATACTATGGATTGGAATATTTGTCACTATTGGAATATTGCCACTATTGAATGAGTTAAGGTATATAGATTACTTAGTATAATGCCTGGCATCTAATAACTATTTAACAAATGGTAAAGTTACTTTTCGAGCCTAATTTTTGCGGGGCAGGGGGAGAGGCAGAAGGAGAGAGAGAATCTTAAGCAGGTTCTACCTCCAGCTCGGAGCCCAATGCAGGGCTCGATTCCACAACTCTGAGATCATGACCTGAGCTGAAATCAAGAGTCAGACGCTTAACTGACTGAGTCACCAAGGTGCCCCAGAGCCTAATATTTTTTAAAAAGAATTCTTTTTTAGCCTAGAGTTTTAGATGACATCTTATAAATATAAGCAATGAATAAACCTATGTCATCACTTAGGTGAAAAACACAAAACAGCTCAGTTGAAGACCCAATTTACATATCTCAATGGATTGAGCATGCTTCCTGAGAAAATCTGGATATTTAAAGAAGTTGTGTATAATCTATTTCTCTATAAGAAGAATTTTAAAATAAGGTTGCAGGGTGCCAGGCTGGCTCAGTTGGTAGAGCATTCGACTCTTGATCTTGGCATCCTGAGTTTGAGCTCCACTTTGGGCTTAGAGATTACTCAAAAAAGAAGAAAGTTAAATAAGGTTACATAATTCCTGTGCTTATGGGTTTATAGTACACCTTTCTTCCCTCCTGTAGAAGATGCTTATAAAATCCGGATCCGTATTGATGATGAGCCTGCCAACCTGGACATTTTGGACACGGCTGGACAGGTATTAAATCTCAGAATGCTGCGTGTAAAGGTGTTTCTCACTGTAGTAGAGGGGAGGGGAAGGCTTATGCAGAGAAGATCACCAGTTCGTCTTTCTCAATTTTTCATGCTCTCTGACTCAGGATAGCAGGTAATTGATATGTGTCTTCTTTGATCTGAAATCATAGCTAATGTGTGTGCAGCCCTGGGTCTCATCACTACATTAATGATCCTGTTCCCCTCCAGGCAGAGTTTACAGCCATGCGGGATCAGTACATGAGGGCAGGAGAGGGGTTTATCATCTGTTACTCTATCACCGACCGTAGAAGTTTCCATGAAGTTCGGGAATTTAAGCAGCTCATTTACAGAGTTCGACGCACTGATGATACGCCTGTGGTTCTGGTGGGAAACAAGTCGGACCTGAAGCAGCTGAGACAGGTGAGGAGAGAGCAGAGATGCAGGCTGGTCTCAGACTGGTCGTCGTCATGTCGGGTTCCGGTGGGAAACAAGTCGGACCTGAAGCAGCTGAGACAGGTGAGGAGAGAGCAGAGATGCAGGCTGGTCTCAGACTGGTCGTCGTCATGTCGGGTTCCGGTGGGAAACAAGTCGGACCTGAAGCAGCTGAGACAGGTGAGGAGAGAGCAGAGATGCAGTCTGGTCTCAGACTGGTCGTCGTCATTTCACTGTATGTAGATTCTTCTGCTTTAAAGTAAAAATTTTAAATTGACTTCTCTTTACCCGTAGAAATTTCTCTAAATCTACTGATTTGCAATTAACTTGGATAAAAATCTGAATTTTAGAAATCAGTTTACAGGATAAAATCCACAGCGTGGTAATCAGATGACAAATAGAGTACGTATTACATGAAGTATCATGGAATGTTCCTAAAACCTTAGAAAGTGATCAACCAATTTGTCAGTTTATGTTGCAGCAGGACAAATGTAGGTTAGACTTCAAGATACATTTCCTGATGGTGAAGATCATTAAGGGGACCTGGAAGGGGAGAATAAGAGAAATTATAGAGGATTCTAGAGTAAGCTGGACTCCCCAGATTGGCGACAGTGTGTAGAATCTGGCTGTTTGGTGTAGAGTTGAAGGAATAGTGGACAGGCATATTGGGACCACTGGTGGAAGCAGCGGAGTAGGTACAGACTTTTCGGAAGTAGTTTGACAGTAGATAAGTTCACAGTGCTTCTCGCTTAATGCCTGTTTGAAAAATCTGTCCAGGAATATATATATGAAATGTTGGTTGCCAGGCTGCTTGTGGTAGCAAAAAGTTAGAAAAAGTCTAAATAATTCAGACCTAGGAGAAATTATGGTCTATCCCTAATTGGCTATATCAATTTTGGATTTGTTATATAGTTGGATTAGAAATCAGTCACTTCGGGGCGCCTGGGTGGCTCAGTCGTTAAGCACCTGCCTTCGGCTCGGGTCATGATCCCAGGGTCCTGGGATCGAGCCCCGCATCGGGCTCCCTGCTCCGCGGGAGGCCTGCTTCTCCCTCTCCCACTCCCCCTGCTTGTGTTCCCTCTCTCGCTGTGTCTCTCTCTGTCAAATAAATAAATAGAAAATCTTTAAAAAAAAAAAAAATCAGTCACTTCATAGGAAGGAGGAGTTGAGGAGCTCTCTGTTCAGATTGCCCCTTCGCTTTTCACTTCTGGAGGCAGTTGCGATTGTTTTCTGTGGTTACCACTATGCATTTTCTCATGTTTACATTTTTAAAGGTCACCAGAGAAGAAGGACTGGCTTTGGCGCGAGAATTCAGCTGTCCCTTTTTTGAGACGTCCGCTGCATACCGCTACTACATTGATGATGTATTCCACGCCCTTGTACGGGAGATACGTAGGAAAGAGAAGGAGGCAGTGCTGGCCATGGAGAAAAAATCTAAACCCAAAACCAGTGTATGGAAGCGGCTGAAATCACCATTCCGGAAGAAGAAGGACTCCGTAACTTGAAGGGAGGATGTGCGTGTTGGCCTGTGAACCGCAGGGTTTACTCCGAGCAACCCAGTGGCCTGCACGAGTGAGCATGGCGCTTGCTCTTTGTCCTGTCGTGACCGTTCCTCTAAATGTAACTGACGAAGGGTGTATGCCTAGTGGGAGTCTTCAGTGACGTGGTGTCTGGAATACTGTCTTTTTAGCTAATTCTGATTTATTAACCCAGTGGAGCACTGTCTACTTGTAAATTGTCACATTAGAATTTGATCTACCAATGTTTTGGGTTCTCTTCCTGGTATTAGTTAATTAGTGTCGATTGTTTCCACCCTGGGGGCGTCTGTATACCATGCGTGTTTTACGAAGCCCACAGGAGGAAGTTTCTGCTATGCATTACTCTGTGTCCGTTTCAACTTGGGTTCCCTGAGACCTTCCCAGGGAAGGGCCTCACTTTCTTCTGTTCACAGGTGCTTCCTGGACACACAGCGAAAACCACGGAAAACCCGGTTCAGGGCATTGCTGTGGAACTGCGTCCTGTCGCAGATGCGGGGCTGTGAGCTCGGGGACGCCAGGCCGTGGAGGGGGGCGGGCGGGACTCCACGTCAGGACCACGTTCCCAGTGCAAGCCTGGCTTTCCTAGAAAGTGCACATTCAACCCAGATGCACTGAGCTAGGTGAGGATAAGCAGAAGCGAGTGAAATGTATGCAGGTTTCTCCTATGAAGTTATTTTGTTCTTCCTTTCAGGATTTAGCCTTCCTTAGCTTCCAGGGTCTATGCTTTGGGAGTCATGACTGGATTACTGAACTCTTGCCTAGACCCGTAGTTGGGACAGCCGTGGCCTTGTGCAGGTTTATTTTTTCCCCAGGGATGTGCACACCAGTACGGTTACATTAAGTGCTTCCCTGGCTCTCTAGCAGAGCTAGGCCTGGTGGGACGTTCTCTGGGTCCTTCGTCAGACTGCATTGTCCACGTGGAAGAGATGTCGGAGTTAGAGTAAAACCGTGTATGTGCCTCCTCAACACAATCACTACGCTCCATGCTCAGAGAAGCCTGGGCGTCTCTGTGCTAACGAGCCAGGCGCGAAGCTTTAGGACTCCTGTGTGTTGAGTTTCTCGTTGAAGATTTCTTTGCAGGGACCTTGGGGAGTTCACCGCACAGGGCTGTCTGAGCCTTGACAAAACTCAGCCTAAGAGAATACCACCTTGATATTTGTGCATAGCTGGGGAGCTTGTTCTGGGAAGGCACGGCTTTACATATGGGTGGTGCATTCTCTCTTTCAGAATCAGGATTGTTTGGGTGTCTGGACTTAACTGTGTGTGGAGATTAGGTGCAGAAGTGCTAAGAATAATGTGGCGCAGATTGAACATTAAATGTCACGAACAGAGTTTGTGACCGTCTTAACCTTGAAGCACGCGACTGCAGCGCCATTTAGAAATAGCGTGCCCCTTGACTTACTGTTTTCCACTTTACTGACAGGCAGAAGGATAGGCTTGTTGTGTTTTTTTCCTCATACTCCATGCGATGTCTGTTCCAGGTTTAAAGAAAGGTGATGGTTGCACCTTTTTTAGCTAGGTCGTGGTCCCTTTTGAAACCAAATAAATCATGTTTTATGGTACTCAAGCCATCCAATAGTGGAAGACCCAGAATTTGAATCTCTGCAGGACAGAAATCTGATAGGAACCATAACACTTTAGAGAAGCATGAAGGTAGAAAAGAAACGCAGTGCAATTCTATTTTAACAGTATTTTACCACATTTAAATTAGCTTAGAGCCTTTTACATGTAATGCCTTAGCTTCTCATTACTAATGATCTAGGGAATCGTAATTAGCGTCGAGCAAGAACTTGACAGCTGTGTAATCATTCAGAACCTTCAAGGCAGCAGAGAAGATTGCCAGAAAGATCGACAAGACAGGAGGGAATTTACATTGTATATAAGAAAAATAACAAATCTGTGTTTTTGAGACTGTCACTGTCCTGTATTTGGTCATTGGATAATTAGCACATTAGTATTGAGAATTCTATTCATGGTGCTAAGTAGTTTGAGGGGGTATAATGTGTGTAGGTAACAGCTCTAATCTTAGTGATCATAACTGTATGTAATTTTATAAGCTCTGAAGAGTCAGGTTTATCCAATTTGAGGGCATTAAAATCCATTACTCCTGGAACTTTGAAGAGAGAAACATTCAGGGACACGTGTGAAAGCACTGGGACTGTTGATGCCTGCGCCCGATTGTTAAGTTAGAAAATTTAGAGTGAGCTGTTAGAATTCAGGAGGGGATATGTTTAATTTTATTATATTTTAGCAAGAATTTGGTCTACTGTGATGTTTGGGGGCGGGAGAAGGAAGAGCAGTCTTTCACTTAACGCATGTGTATATGAAGACAGTTTACATGACACAATACAGAACTTCTAAACAACTTGTTGGGCTTCTCCTTTACTTACCTGTGCGTGGGTGGAAATGCTTAGAATCATTGCACAAAGGTCATTTTAAGAAAATACAATACCATGAGATTTTCTGTTCTGGAAAATACGGATTCAAAAGTGTGAGTGCCCGCCACGTGCAGGATACCTGCGTTGAGTGCGTTGGGGCGTGACATGGAACGCCCTTTCAGAGAGAGGACCTTGGCTCTTGGGCAGGTGGACAGGCTGCAGGGAGGTGAAGCACTGCGGTCCAGCTGCCAAAGAGTCTCCATGTGACAGTGAGTGGGGTCCCACCTCTTAAGTGACTCTGGACTCTGGTTCCCCACCGCGGGCACTGTTCCTGTCCTGGCTTCGGCAGCCAGGATGCTTAGGGGTGTTTGGTGTTTGGCCAGGTAGAGTGAACTGCCACCCCTGGGATGGGGGGGGGGCGGGCAGGTGCCCGAGGAAGCCTGCTGAGACCCTGTGTGCAGAGAGGTGGAGTGGTGGGGAGACAGAAAAAACACATTGGAGACGAATGGCATGTTTGCCACCCGATGAAGGGTTCAGGCTGTTTCCAGTGTGGAACTAAACGTGAGACCGTGAGGAGTCATTGCTTTGTGTGAAGGTCATTGCTTTTGTCTCTACTAAAAATGGGCACTGGCGTTTGTGGAGAGGACTTGGTTTGGACCTTAAAGGAATGTGTTTCTGTGTTCTCATTACTTGTGTTGAGCAGGTCAGCAACGGTCAGGAGGGTCCACTCTTGAACCGGGTAGTGGAGGAGCGGCGTTCCCTTTCTAAGCTGGCCTCCGTTAGGCGAGGCGCCGGGGTTCCATCAAAGCGTTCGTGGGCCTCCTCTGTGCACTGAGCACCGTGTGAGACTGGGATTCGAAGGGATAGACAGTATCCCTGCTCTTGAACTTTGACAAAATCAGCATATCCGGCTGGAGATGGATTGTGAAGTAGGAGATGACCTGCTTCCAACTGGGAATGTTTCAGAAATTCAGAGGAGGAAGGCCCCTGTAGGGCTGGGTCCAGCGGGGCACTGAGCGCTAACGGTAGAGCAGGCAAGTCGAGGAGAGGCTGAATTTAACCCGCGTGGGATAATAGAGAAGATCAAAGCGAGGTGATTTCTGAAGTTTCTCCTCATTTCTAGTGTTTATTGCTTATTTTCTTTAAAAAATCATATAAATTTAGGAAGCTCCTGACAGTTGGTAGTGTTTCTCCTTTTCCAAACTTACTGAGAAGGATGACAAAGAAATTGAAAGTCTTACTTTTTAGGAGTCTGTGTTAACACGGACAAGCACTTGGCTTTAAGAGATGGTTCAGTACTGAAAACGGATTTGCAGTCATCCTGGATTTGCTCAGCTTCAAATTAAAGTTTGTAATCAGGGGCTCCTGGCTGGCTCAGTCCGTTGAGCATCCAACTCTTGATTTAGGCTCAGGTCATGATCTCAGGGTTGTGAGATTGAGCCTCAGTCGCGCTCTGCGCTCAGTGGGGAGTGTCCTTGGGGTTCCTCCCTCTCTCCCTCTGCCCCTCCCCCGCTGCTGCCCAAGCACCCGCGTGCTCACCCTCTAAGATAAATAAAATCTTTAAAAGTTCGGTTCAAACTATGTTCATACATTTATCAGCTCAGCTGGAACTGAAACTTGTGGCCTCGCCTCACAGGGAAGTAGTTGGAGGCCTGAGTTCTCTGATGATGATTCGCCCTGTCCTCACATATCTCTAAATGCTTTTGCTGCACAAATTAATTTTGTCTTTCTCTTTTTTTTTTTTTTAAAGATTTTATTTATTTATTTTAGAGAGAGAGTGAGAGAGAGAAAGCGCACAAGAGGGGGGAGCGGGAGAGGGAGAAGCAGACTCCCTGCCCAGCAGAGAGCCCGATGCGGGACTCGATCCCGGGACTCCAGGATCATGACCCGAGCCGAAGGCAGTCGCTTAACCAACTGAGCCACCCAGGCGCCCAATTTTGTCTTTCTCTTTTTCCCACTAAGAATTGTGTTAAATAATTAGGTATAACATAAATTAGAATAATTAAGAAAATAGTGTATTTGTATTTTACTCAGTTTTTGACAAGTTTTTTTCAGTGGAAGTTGGAAGCGGAGCCTTGCTGTTCTTCTTGGTTTGCTGGTTATCTCTGGTTCAGTGCTGTGCTCTTCCCATGTGGCCGGATTGCACCCACGTCCGTGAAGAAAGCGAGAGCCGCCTCAGCTCCTGTCTGCAGAAAGCGCCTTGTCTTCTGATGAGTGGAGTTGGTTTGCGGCTTGTCTGGTGCACAGGACCAAGCATGGTCTGGAAGGCAGGATGGATTTTAGATTTTAGGAAAATGCAGCCAGACAGCATAATTGAGTCAACCCGTACTTAGAGCCTTACAGACCTATTTCCGTGAAGAGCCTTGCAGACCTATTTCCCTTCACTGTCCAGATGGTTGGAGCTGGGGCAAGGGTAGCTTCTTTGGGCTACCACGAGTTAGTGGACGTAACCAAAGACTCCTAGCACGTGGTTTCTGCTCCCAGGGGTGTACAACGGATTGAGAAGGCAGGGCAATTCATAGGCAACCTAAAACCATGTTACATCGACTAATTAAAAGAAAACATAGGAAGATTTGGATTAAATTGGTAGGTAGAATTAGGCCATGAAGATTTCTCAAAAAGTGAAGATGCATGACTTGGAACCACAGAAAAGTCAAGCATCCTGTATGTAGGACGGCTCCAGCCCAGGATCGGAGAGTGGGTGAGTCAAGACTACCCTGGGGTAGGTGGGATGAGCATGGAGAAGCCCACTGTGGCTCAGAGTACACAGCAGGACACCCACGGGGCGGGGCTGAGTGCGTGGGAAGCCGTGAGGCAGGTCTGAAGTGGGCGTGGCTCCCAAGTACCTGTCTGCTCTGGATCAGAAACAGGCAAGAGCAGTTCTGGGTTTTCTCTCTCATTTTCTTAGCTTAACCTCTGGAGATTCTGATCTGATGAATTCTGACAGGATCCGGGAATGTCTGTTGAATCCCAGGAGATTGTGATGGCAGCCATGCTGCCTTTCCTGAGCCAGATGGTGTCGAGTGCCCTGGGCGGGCATCGGAGGGCGGTGTGGAGCGGTGACGGCTGGCTGTCACCAGGTGCGGAGAACGTTAGCGGCTCTCGTCCGGGTGGCGTGGGGTGGGGAGCACGGAGAGTAAGCAGTAAGAAGATGCAGGACGAAACAAGGGCCGTGGCTGGGGGACTAGCAGGAAAAGTAAACTCATACCTTATTATGAAGGAAACCCCTGGATAGAACAAAGACCTGTTCAGTCTTAATGTTTGGGGTATGCTGAAATTTCCAATCAACTTTTAAACATGAGTTGGCCTTAAGACAAAATTACTGAAATGTTTTAGCTTTGTCTAGTAGCCCTTGCTTAAAAAAATTCACCACACGCGATCATATCATTAAGTCACCCAGTTTTTTGAACAAAAGCTGCTGGGGTGGGGACGTGTCATTTCCTGCCCTTCCCAGAGCTGGTTATTGCTAGTTTTATTGCAGTTTGCTCTGAGCCAGGAGAAAATCTCTAGGTTCAGAACTCTCCCCCCATCAGATGTTTGCCCTAGTTTCCTTGCACACCAGTGCTTGATAGGAAGGTGAGTTCAAGCAGGCGCTCCAGTACGGTATAATCCAATATAAAATCTCTGCTGGCCGGGAGGGCGTCCCTGCACTTCTAGGTTAGTCCCACCCAAAACACTGTGGCCACTCTTCCTGTCAGATCCCCAGGCAGCCTCAAGAGCACATGTGGGTCTGCTTGCAGCTAAGACACACCCACCACTGCTACCACCCAAAAAACTGACAAAAACAAGACTCTGCTCTAGACCAGACTTCTTTGGAAACTCCAACTCAGTAGTAAGTGGGAAGAGGCACAGATTTTTTTGTGTTTACTTTAGGTCTGCTTCCGAGACAATATTGTGTCCCCTGCCTGTCTTCCTGCATTCCACAAGCCTTTACTGAGCACCTGCTGGATGCCAGGCATGGTGTTGGATTTTGGGAATTCAGCCGTGTGAATAACAAGAGCGCAGGTCTTGGCTCAGTTCTGTTCTTCAGGGACCTCTGATTTTTTTTTTTTTTTTTTTTTTTAAGTAGGCTCCACACCCAGTGTGGGGACTTGAACTGCCCACCCTGAGATCAAGAGTCACATGCCTGCCGAGCCAGCCGGGTCCCCAGGCACCTCTGCTTCTGATGTGCACAATCTCATGTCAGAGATGCGGACTGAGTGGTAGAGAATGGGGGTGGGGGGTAAGGGGACGAATTAATGAAAGATTGCTCCTGCTCCTTGGTGAAAAATTCAGTGTCAACTTGGAAAAATGCCAGACGGGGGACTGATTTGGTGTGAGTGAATGTCAGTCATGAAAATGTCCAGTTTCGGGAGCCTGCGACTCTTGATCTCGGGGTTGTGAGTTCCAGCCCTGCATTCGGTGGAGTTATGACTTAAATAAAAGTTAAAAAAAAAAGGAACAGAGATGTTCTCAGGTTTCTGAAAAATTATGCTCTGTGGCTAAACTGATTTGCTCTTGAATCATTTATTTTTTTTAAGCTTTTATTTATTTGACACACAGAGCACAAGTAGTCCCGGGAAGTGGCAGAAGGAGAGGGAGAAGCAGACTCCCTGCTGAGCAGGGAGCCTGATGCGGGACTCGATCCCAGGACGCTGGGATCATGATCTGAGCTGGAGGCAGATGCCCAAGCAACTGAGCCACCCAGGTGCCCCACTCTGGAATCATTTAAAGAGGACCCCAAGTGCTAGGCTGTTTGTCTCGTCAAACCACAAGGTACGGGAGGTGGATGAGGTTGACGGCTCTTCTCAGAGTTTGTTATAAGAAGATCATAGGAGAAAACGCTGTGGGCGGACAGATGCTGGAGGAGGGAAAACAATGTGGTCCCCATTCACTTCCAGCCCGGCACCCATTCCTCCTCCAAAGGAAATGACATCTTATTCAAGAAGCCACCCATTTCCCACACCCAGGTCCAGGGCAGGCCAAAAGACACTCCCATCCTTCTTGCCCGATAGACTCAGCAATGACCACGTGGCCCGTTTTGGGCCAGAGATTAGAGGAGAGAAAAGCTAACAGTTTCTGGGGGATGCTTTACCTTATTTTTTCTGGGAGTGGCCCTGAAGCAGTCTCTTTTCCCTTGGAACCGTTAGGGTTAAGCGGACATTGCATGTCCGTGTGGGCCCCCAGGAAGCACCCGGGACCCTCGGTGTTAGTGACATTTTGCCAGAGTGCCCCGAAGCAGGCCCTGCCTGTGGACTTACACTTGGGTGAACCAGTACATGTTCTTGGTGTTTAAGCCAATTTGAATTGGGTTTCCTGTTAATCATAGACAAAAGCATCTTGACTGAGTGCCAAGATACTTTTACCATCGTTGTATTATCGTAGTATTTTTTCAGACTTACCCCTAGAGAGAAAGCAATATGCAAAATTATCTGTGGGCCATGATTGCAACACCAGCTAGTTGCGGATGGGAAGGTGTGCAGAAACTAGTGTTGTTCCCCTGTAGACGGATGTTTTTCCCGGTTTCTGTGAACTTGTACTTTATATTATTATGTGTTTTCCACAGTGACCCTGTGTGACGCCTCAGGGAGGAAACGCACAGGAAATAAGACTAGAAGACAGAAAGTTGGGAAGGTTCTAGAATCCCCACTAATTTTTTTTCCTTTTCTCTATTTTCCAATTTTTGTATAATATGCTTATTGTATTGTCATTTAAAAAACTTTTTTATTTTTATTATTATTTTTTTAAGATTTATTTAACAGAACACACATGAGCGGGATGGGGGAGGGGGGAGGGGAGGAGGGGCAGAGGGACAAGCAGACTCCCTGCAGAGCAGGGAGCCCAATGTGGGGCTCGATCCCAGGACCCTGGGACCACGACCCGAGCTGAAGGCAGACGCTCAATGACTGAGCCACCCAGGTGCCCCTAAAAAACTTTTAGTTCCTTCACTGAAACCTTAAGAGTGGGGGCTTCCTTTCCTGCTTCCAGAAAGGAAACACGTGCACACAGCGAGGGCAATTTCCACAGGATAGAAGGTAGGAAGAGTCATTGTTCCAGACTTCAGGGCATGCAGGGGTCCTCGGAGCACCCCGGGGCATAACCCCCGAGGGGTGCGTTAGCCTGCATTCCTTCTCTTTCAGAGCCTTTCTCAGTCTGTGATTGCATATTTACTGGTGGGATCATCTGATCGTGGCTGGTCCTTGTGTGCCTCGGGATCAGTGTTGTGTCCCTGGCACCTGGCATATGGTATGCTCTCAATGACAAATCTTTGTTAGGAATGAATGAATGAGAGAACAGAATCAGCCCTCTTGGAATTGCTTTGGGGTATAAATATTTCCAATTACATGGACAGGCTAACGAGCACTGAAGCCATCTTCTCTCTCCTGGTGGTTATGGTCTGAGGAATGACATTTTGAGAGGAAAACAGAAGGACTAGAGAAAGGACTCTAAGTCTGGAGCCTGGAATCTGCATTTTTTTTCCCAGTAATCTCTACACCCAACGGGGGGCTTGATCTCACAGCCCTGAGACCAAGAGTCGCAGGCCCCCTGGACCGAGCAGGCCAGGTGCCCCTGGGATCTGGATTTTTGGGGGACGTGGGGATCGCACTGGAAGCGTGCGCTGGATCACCCTGTTGGAGTCTGAGTGCTGACCTCGCTCACGGCCACCCAGCTCCCAAGAAAACTGCTGCAGCGCGCCTGTGTGTAATGTGAGTCAGTCTTTATTTTGCACTTGTGTGGTGCATTAACAAACTCCACATACAATATAGCATTACATATTGTAGCTTAGCATTACAGCGTTATGAAGTTTCACACAATTCATGTTTGCTTTTCCGGGTTTTTCTTTTTTTTTCTTTTTCTTTTTTTTTAATTTGACACATTTATTTTGAGTTTCTTTTTTTACAAGAGAAGACACAAGGTAAAGAAAGACGACCACATCGGAGAAGGATCCTGGTGAGGGCAATGGGCAACGTCACAATCGCGGCCACAGTAAAAGCCTTCCAAGAAAAGACCTGCATCGTTCCCTCTCCTGAGCAAGCCGCTCCTGTCCCACAAGCCAGTCCTCTCTGCTTTCCTAGCGAGAGCATGTTCCTGGACACGTACATCTTGGCTGTCCTCCACTGAGAAGAACTGAAAGGAGGGATAACTCCTAAAGGGACTTTTGTTATTAAGGAAAACTCTTGTCTTCCCAAAGGAATCAAGATACCAGCAGAGAAGGCCTGACTCTTGGAAAATCCGAAGTGGTCGCTCCCTAACCCATTCCTGACCGTGATGCCTTGTGCAAAAGCTTGGGTGCGACTCTCGTCTTTCAACTGACTCGGGAGGAGGCGCTGCTCCTCGGCGGGATCGGCTAGCTCTGGGAGGGCACGTGTGAAAGCCAAAGGCAGCTAAGAGACTTGGGGACAGCAAAGCCAAGGGCATGATGGATCAGGCGTGAGGTAGGAGGGAGGAGCCCTGTGCTGTCTGCTGGTTCCCGCCCTGTCACCTCACCACCCGCTGCTCCACAGACCCGAAGAGTGGGAGCGAGAAAGCTACCAGGGATGGGGAGGAGAGGAGCGGGGCGAGGCGGCCTTCCCAGACCTGTGGCGGGAGGGGCTGAGGTCACACTCAGCAGGGCAGAGACCAGACTCTCCACGGCTGTTGCTCTGCATTGTTTCTGGGAAGGAAACAAAAGCGGGTTGCTCAGCAATTTCTGATCTTCAGACATTAAGGCGATGAAGAGGAAGCATTTAAGATTTTTTTCCTAATGGGGCTTCAGAATGCTCCTGTCAGATTTACATTAAACTATCTCAAAATGCATTTTTAGAAAACAAAAATTATTTTCTTCTACGTATGATACAGTATTTACATTCTATGGAGTTTGGGCTAGAGACGGGTGGTGTGGACACACTGATGGGATAGTGAGTCAGATGAAGGGGGTGGGGGCGGGGGGGGGCAGGGACAAGAACAGAGTGGGCTTTGTGCCTGCTCAGAACTGCTCAGAATCCAGGCTTTAAAAAGGACAACGAAAAGATTCAGGGAGCAGACTGGTCTTAAATCCATAAGAGCTAAAAGAATATCACACGCACTGTTGCCGCTCTGTCCACGGACACCCAGCCGCCTCGGGAGCAGGTCGGAGGGGGTGGACCTGCTCTTTGAGGCCTCGGCTCCGGCGGCTGCTAACCTGAGCTCTGCTGGCCGGACAAGTTCACGGCCTGTGGCCTGGGCTCTGCCCTCCGACAGGTCTCGACGCCAGAGCTGCGGCTGACCGGGAGCCCGGAGCCCCAATCTCAGCGAGACAGCAGCCCCCTCGCCGCCAGGCTGCCCACCGGCGGGGCGGTGGGTCGGGACCCCATGCCTCCCCCAGCCCTTCACCTTGTCTGGATGCTCAGTGAAACCCAAGAACTAAGCACTCTTATGAGGGACAGGATGGTAGAAAAGAACCCAGGTTATCTTGACTACCCATTAACTCCCATTTACTCATTTCACTCATTTCCTTAGTTTTAAGAGCCACAGTTGAAAAATTTAAGGATAAAGAATAATTTCTGAAGGCCCTTTTCCTTAGGAAGCAAAACCAATCTCATCTAAGCTACCTGAGAAAACTCTAAAGCTTCTCATGGGTCAGCATTTCTGGAAAAACAGGCCAGTTTCATCCTTCACACCAACAGATGGCTGTCATTTGGCCATGGGGCTGCTAGGGGGTGGCGGACGCACCATTCTGCCCACACCCACGAACAACGAACGCCCCAGCTCCCTGGAGCCACCCTGGCCGGACTGGAAGGCTTCGAAGCTCTCTCCAGAGAAGACCTCTAGTTTCCTAGACCCGAACTCTACCTCGAAGTCTGCCGTGTTCATGTACTTCATCGCAAGTTAACCCCGGACAGCCCCTGAGCCCTCCCCGCAGCAGTGTGGCAGCAAGAACCAAATCCTCTTTCCCCTGCACACCCGGCCTCATCGGCCTCATCCACCCCAACTTCGTTTCTTGGCTCATGACAGACCTCTGGACCCTGAGCTCAGTTAAAGAGCAGAGCTGTCCGAGGTGGGAAGGAGACAAGACGGGGATGACGACACTGTGAGGTTTTACATGAGCAAAACAACATCCTTCTGCTGAGCTGGGGGGCGGGAGTCTCTCTCCAGAGAAGCCCAGTAAAAAGAGGCCAATTTCAGGTAATCAGCAAATACAATTCGGCACAAAACACGATTTTCATGGATCAAAATCTGTAACTTGATATTGGCAGTTAGGCTAATTTCAGTTTGTATTAGACATGCAAGTATAAGGTTACATTGTTATATATAGACTTGTGAGGCCCTTCCCTCTCTTTTTCCCCATTAAAAAAAAAGGATTTCTAGTGCCTTGCAAAGGAGAAAAATCGTCATCGCTAAGAACTGATCTGCAGCTGTGGTCATGTGGGGTGTTCTTTGTGGGGTGTGTTTTGTAAGAAATCTTCTACAACTAAAAGGAGGTTCCAAGTCTGCTCCTGTCTGGCATCTCTGTCCCCACCGGGGGACTAGTACTCGCTCAGACTGTGCCACTTGGCCACGGACTTGCGGGGGCTCTCGCAGACCTCCCTCCAGTGCTCGGCACCGCCGCTGGTGACGCTGTGTGCCCCCAGGATCAGCCTCCCCACCGCCTCGTTCTTGGTGGTGCGGTCGAAGTCGATGACCAGGAACTCAATGCTGACGTCGGGCAGGAGGTCAGGGGGGATGTCGTAGACGAAAGACTCGTTGAAGACTGGGTTCAAAGTGCACTTCTTCACGTGGGTTTTCTTCTTGGCAATGCGCTTTCTGCCGTAGTAGACGTTCACCTTGACATAAGGATCTGGGGCCACCAAAGAGACAAGAGAAAAGGGAGACAGGCCCATGACACGGTCCTCCTCTCAAATGGCTTCATGGGGGCTGGTTTGCTCAACTCTGTGGTGGCCACTCACACATGGTCTCCAGGGACGGCACACCAGATGCACTGTGACTTTAGGTGGGTCTGCCTGCCCAGGCGAGGGGCCAAGGGAACCAAGCAGGAACGTAACAGAACAACTTCCCCAAGTCAGGAGTGAAGAAAGCCCATGACACTGGGAAGCATTTTCCAGGGCGCAGGGACTCACAGATGCCTGCTGTGTTTTGGAGAGGTCAGGACACCCCTCAGGACACCTCACCAAACGTCGAACCCTGTCCACTCACCCGGGGCCCCTCCTGCGCTAGGGACATCTAGAGCCTAGGTAGTCACCGGGGAGAGAACATGCGCAGAGGAACAGGTGGGGACCGAAGGACGTCGGGGGTGCAGGCGGGGCGGCGTGGGGCCAGGGGGCCCGAGGCAGGTCGAGGTAAATAGCTGCTACCTGAGAGACCGGTGATGTCCATTTTCGGCAGGTGTCGGGCTTTGAGGACCACCACGGTCAGCCTCTGTGCCACGGGCTGGTAGGACAGAGACACCTGGAGCTCCCCTCTGCTAATGCACTTCTGCGAAGAGGAAACAGCACATGAGAGTCCTGGCCGGGGCGGGGGCAGAGCAGGGACAGCGGGTGTGCAGAGGCCGGGGCGGGGGGGCTGCGGAGGGCCACGGAAGCTGCGCATCCCGCCCGTGTGTTACTACCATGTTTAACAGGGAGGGGAAACGGACACATTCTCATTACAGTCCTGATACTAAATGAAACCGACGGCATGGAGAGGTGGCCTCGCCTCGTATTCATGAGCGCGAGTCTCAGGACAGACTGGTCTGGATTCAAGTCCTCTGCCCCCCCCGCCTGTGTGACCTGGACAAGAACTTGACGGCTCTGTGCCCCAGTTTCCTCGTCTGAAGGTGCAGATAAAAACAGCACTGACCTCACAGCATCAGCAAGAAGATTAAATACATTAAAACAGGTAAACGTTTACCTGTGCCAACGCCTAGAGAAGCGCATTCTCTCCCATTCCCTCATTCGGTTCTTGCGATAACAGTTTTAGAGCCTGGATGCCACGTGGAAGGCAGGAGACCTGGGGCTGAGCCTTCACTTCGCTGTTCTCTCACCCCCTGGCTTTGGGCAGGTTCCTGAACTTCCCCCCATTCCGCACGGTGAGTACGCACGCCTGCTCTGTCCGCCTCCCAGTGTCTTCTCCAGCCAAGCTGGCCTCCTCCCCGGTGCCCACAGCTTGGGCTTCCCCTCTTTGAATTTTATTCTAGGCTCTGCTTGGAAAATGAAAAAATGCTCTGGCCCCCAAAGGACATTTTAAACAATACTTGGATACATTGCTATGTGCTGGGGGTCCAGAGCCGATAGGACCTGGTTCTTTCTTGTTTTTCTTTCTCTTTTTCATTTTTCCCATTTTTTCTTTTCTTTTTTTTTTTAATTTTAAGTTGTCTCTATACCCAATGTAGAGCTTGAACTCACAACCTTGAGATCAAGAGTTGCGTGTTCCAGTGACTGAGCTGGCCAGGCGCCCAGGATCTCGTTCTTGCTCCCAAGGAGCTTACCATGCCCAGAAGAGACAGACAAACACACCTGCCCTCATCAGAGTAGTAAGGAGCCCGTCTGAGTGCTGCTGGGGGACCCAGGGGAGGGCTTGCTGGCTGACCTCCGGGCTGAGTTTAGGAAGGTGAGGAGGAGTAGGAGAGGCGACGTACAGAGGGAGGACCGGTCAGGACAGGCGGCAGAATGCGGACTCTGAGGGCATTGGGTCCACTGTGTTCCAAGAATGGTGGGAGGGGAGGTGCTGCCCTTGGATGCTGGTGGGAGGTGGGGCGGGCGACAGAGAGGGAGACTGGGGCGGGGCGGGGGGGCTTCTAACCAAACAGCAGAGCCAGCCAGAGCTCACAGGTGGGGGGTGCGGCTGCCGGCCCCGGAGGGACACACTTGTTGCTGTGTTACTGTTCACGAAGACTAGTATTGTTCTGGTGAGGCTGGAGCACGAACTGAAGGGAGACGGGCCCCAAGGCTGGTGCGTCAGGCTGCGGAGGAGGCGCCCGCAGCGGAGGTGAGCACGGGGCAGGACGCGTCTCAAGAAGAGCTCACCGAAGTGGAGGGCAATTTCTTGTGTTTCTCGCTTATTGTTTTTGTTTTATTTATTTATTATTTATTTATGTTTCTTTTGTTTTCTCATTTTTTTTTTTAATTTTTGAAAAAATCGGGGCACCTGGGTGGCTCAGTCGTTAAGCGTCTGCCTTCGGCTCAGGTCATGTTCCTGGGGTCCTGGGATCGAGGCCCGCATTGGGCTCCCTGCTCAGTGGGGAGTCTGCTTTTCTCTCTGCCGCTCCCCCTGCTTGTGTTCACTCTCTCGCTGTCGAATAAATAAGTAAAATCTTTTATAAATAAATAAATAATTTTTAAAAATTTTGTGTGTTTCTGGTTTATAAATTAGGGATGAGGCTGGAAGAAGGAAAACAAAAGGAGGTGGGGTTCCAGGAATATTGGGCAAAATAAGGAAATTTGGGACAAAACCCCCCTACTACCCAACTCTTACTCCTTGTAGTCTACAAAGCCCCAAAGAAATGGCACCTACCCCAGGAAGTGTTCTCTGATTGAGCAAGAACAGACTGTACCCACCACCGGCCTTCCATATGCCACAGACACACAAAATGACTTATCGTGCGTCTACTCAGGGTCGGCTGGAAAGGGGGAGGGAAAGGGGGATGGAAAGGGGTTCGAGGGGGAAGCCTACTCTCAGCAAGCACTCCCTACTGGGGGGGGTGCAATCTGTGCGGGAACAACAGAAAATCACAGAATTAGCTCATCAGTGAAAAACAAGGAGAGAAACCTCAACGTCTGTGCTTTGATTAGAGGCCCAACTCGTCTCAAGGAATGAAACTGTACTAACACTTCACATGGTTCAGAAACTGTCCTGAGGCTCTATGTCATTCCAGGAACGTAGGGAAATGTCTCTCCCAGGGCATAAGATGACTAAAATGTAAACTTAGACTTTAGCTTTTGAAATTGAAGTCCCAAAGAGAACAGACTTGAAAAAGGATTTTCATGGCTTTTCTCTGCTAGATTGAAGGCCCACATTTTTTCCTTACCCATAACATAGATGTTGTCAGCTCTTGATTACGTCCCCGGGAAGTACCCTCAGCCAGTTTAAAATCCCAGTTTAAAAACCCTTGCCAACCGGTGTTATTCTGGCCTGCTTCCTTTTGACATGAGTCACACCCCAATTAGAGAATGTAAACTCATTTTTACTATTAGCTACAGCCAAATGACATCAGGAGAGGAATCACACATGAAAAAGAGAATTAAATGCCATCCAGAAGAACATTCAGAACGGAGCTGTCCAAAACAGGGGCACTAGCTCCATGTGTCCACTTACATTTAAGTTTTAATTCATTAAAATTAAATAGAATGACAATTTCAGCTCCTCAGTCACACAAGCCGTATTTCGTGTGTCCTCGGGCAGACAGAGTGCATTTCCACCACCACGGAGAGCTCCGGTGCACTGATCCTGAAAGAACTTTGGGCTGGTCTGTGCCGCACTCCCCTCCCAGTCCACGAATAAGGAAATGTGAGCTTGATTTGAGGTCTGTGCCTGGACCACCCTTGAATATGCACATACAGTCTTTAAATACAATTTGAGGGGCGCCTGGGTGGCTCAGTCGGTTAAGCGTCTGCCTTCGGCTCAGGTCATGATCCCGGGGTCCTGGCATCGAGCCCTGCGTCAGGCTCCCTGCTGGGCGGGAAGCCTGCTTCTCCCTCACCCATTCCCCTTGCTTGTGTTCCCTCTCTCGCTGTCTCTGTCAAATAAATAAATAAAATCTTAAAAAAAAATACAATTTGAACTATACAGAAGAAGGGGAAAAGAGAAACTTGATTTTGGGGCGCCTGGGTGGCTCAGTTGGTTAAGCAACTGCCTTCGGCTCAGGTCATGATCCTGGAGTCCCGGGATCGAGTCCCG